CTCAGTCTTTGCAGTTGTATCAGTTAATTTGTTTTCCGATTTAATAGCATTAATTTCTGAGTCTGAAGTATTTCCATTCTTTAGATTATCAATAGAAGTTTTATCGCAAACTGTTTTTTCACTTCCTTCTCTTTTTCGTTTCTTATTCACATTGTCAGAGACCAAATTCTTGTCAAACTTGATGAGGCGCAATGCAGCTTTTCGCGAATCCATCTCTTTTCTCTGACGATTTGGTTTCCTGACTCTTTTTATTCCAAGCGGCATCTTTCCTTGTGACAATTCTGTAAATCTTAAAATATAAATTTTTTTCAGTATAACATGTTTCAGTATAAATGTAACTTATATATTTGATAGATTAATAAAAACATACTCGTCAAAAAGTCTCAAGAGCTGCCTGCGTGACTTTGCCGTTGATGACTGATGAAATTTATACGTTGAAAGCAACTCAGCAATCTTTGCGGCATTAAAAGGTATTGGCGGTAGTTCGATATCAACTTTACCCGCTCTTGGATCTAAAGGCTTCTCAATCTCATTCTCTGGCTCAGCTTCAGAAAATTGTTTATCTTCATTGTCAGTATTTTCTTCTATATCAGATATATCTACCTTTTGCATGCCATCTATATGTGCACAGGGAAAGCCAGCCTATTTAAAATATATGCGTTTATAAATTAATAAATATGTTGAGATAAGTTACATCATGTATTGGAGTTTTGTATTTTAGATATATTAACATACGTCTCTCCAAGCATTGAATTTTTCCATGTAATCTAAACCAATATCCGATTGGAATATCAAATATCTGAAAATATGTCGCATGATATGTTTCATCTGTCGTTCGTCACTTGTAGTTACTAGATACTCAGCAAAGGGTTTAACAAGTTCGTGAACTACATCTTCTTGTAGATTTCCATTACCAACCTACAGTATCAATAATAGAAATGACCATTTTTTAATACAAATTAAATAAAAGTTTAAATCTTAGCCACAAATTTTCTTATATTGTATAAATACCTTGGCAAGCTCTTCTAGATATATCTCTGTTACATGCAAATTAAATCCTAAGCCAGTTTTTACATGCAAAAAGAGTTGCGTAAATATTTTCGAAAATTCTGTCACCCATTCCATGTTCCACGAATGATTTTTACAAACTACAAACGTTTGACGAAGAATCCTCCTGACCAGCTACAAAAAAAAAAACAGAAAAATGTCGAGATTAGATTCTTTCCAAATATTTAAGTTCTTGCATGTCTATTGCAGTCAGATATATTTCAAATAATAAAAGTACCATGGAAAATTTATCTAGTCTATACTGATCTATGCCAAACCATTCAGCAGCAAGCGTCTGTAGGGCACAGCTAGTGTAAAGTATAATTGTATCTTTTGATTTCAAGCAATGCACAAGCTTGCTCAATGACTCTGCCAGCTCCTCCTGAATCAACATCTTGTCTGACATCCACATGCAGTAAAAAAGACCTTTCCATAAGCTCATGAAATCTGTCTTCGTAAACACTGTAAAGAATGCAGAGTATATCAGGCCCTAAATATAAAGTGTTTATATTCAAGTTTCATATTTATATCAACTCTTTGTATACATGATTGAGTCATTCGTATCTTATGTATTTCTTTCTTTGAAATATTAAAAAAGCACTTGGCTAAATGACGGTCTCTATCCTTTCCTTTTTTAATATATTAAATGCTTTCCAGCAAGAGATACACATGATACTATGTAACACAATTGAATCATTACATCTTTGTTTGCTAATATTAAGAAAGCATTACTTATACATACTATCGAAAGATGTTGAAGTATATATGTAAGAATAATTATAATCTTCATATACTTATAAAAGTGATAAAAATTAACCCTGGACATAATCTATCTCTAATAGCAATTTATTAGGGATATACTGATTAAACTAATAAATAAATAATATTCGAACACTATTGTGCTACTAGAGATCACATATAATAAAGGACCAAAAAATCATCGTGTGTTAATTATGTAATTTACATAATAATGCGTATAAATTGACTTACCAAACGAACTCTGTGATCGTACTGTAAGCCATTTGTTAAGTCTTTTTAGCACCTTGTCCCGGACTTTCTTATCATTGTTAGCCAATAATCGCGCTATCTTAATTTCTTGTTGAAGATTAGCGACAATTAGAGCTTTTGTGCTTTTGTCATTGGACTCCATGGGTTTCTTGTTGCTAATCTTCGGTATCTTCATCTCGTTTTTCCGTGATGATACACGGGCATCATATCGTCTGTACTTTCTTACTGCCATTCTTTATACTAATTGTTTTAATCAATCAGATAATTCGATATATACTGTTACATTTCTTAATAAAGTATCAAACGATATCAGGAATGTTTTTTATATAAGCAAATATTATTGAAATGTACGCGCACAGCGTACACGTGCAGCGAGATAATGGAAATGGCTTGAACATAACCTAACAATACATATGAGACACATAGTGCTTCCTGATAGTTGGTAATCAAGAATACGTAATAAAAACATTTATGCACGATAAATTTTATTACATTATAAATGGATGTGTATGTGAAAATGTTGCTTATTCTATCGAATACTTAATTCTCTTCTAATTATAAGTAATTTATGTTTTGGTACTTTAATAAATTAATTAAATCTGATGAACATCTAAACTTATAAAGTTGATTTTCTCGAAAGGCTTATATGAAAAAAATTAGTCTAAATTTCTAATTTAATTTCTTTATGTAGAATTATTCTTTTCTTTATTGTACATACATACTTACAGTTAACAAACGTTCCGTACATTATAATTATATCTTTTATATATTGCTGTCACGGTTGATTTTATTATACAACTGACCTGGTCTGATCAGTAGCCTAGTTTCACCGAGGGTATAATTCGGATCAGAATGTAAGAATCAACCAACTACAATCGAGCATTCCCCTGTCGTTCGACTGTAACAGGGGAATATTCAACTGTAGTTGGTTGGTTCTTAGGAGAAATCATGCATTGTGGAATACACAGTTTCTGATACGTTGAAATTCTTATTCTTTGTTCTCTGTTCCCTTTATTGCGCGGAGCCCCTTACATTCTGATCCGAATTAATGCCCGTATTCATAGTCAGACTTTGTACTTTTCCTTAAATTTAGATGCTCAGTAGCCAGTGAAATAATTCGTAGAGAATCTGAAGATAAATTTAAGAAAGCCTTAAATATAAGGCCTGATTATGAATACGGATATTCATAATCAAAACCCTCGGTGGAAACTAGGCCAGTTACTAAAAGGTTGCAACACTTTTTAATTCGATAGTTTTCGGAACGCGCAAAAATTCTGACAGAGCAGAGCACCATCTCTGAATGCCTATACAGTCAGCGGTTATGATAGGTTATGATGACTGCAGCACAGACTTGCGTAAAGCATAATACATAGTGCATAAGGGAATCAATCAATCGAAATTCTTCTTTTCTATGGAATAGGACAGAAAAGAATCTGATTAGTTGATTCGCTTATGTATTATGCAAAAAAAAGTCTGTACTGCGGCCTTAATGGCCATTCTAAATACAATAATTCCCTCACATTGTCTTGGGCTTAAACAAACATAATCATAATGTCACTAATGCTATTAAAGCTATTCTTTCTGAGATAGTGTATTGGTAACGTTAGCGGTTACAGATCCGTGAACGACCTTAGCGGAGCGTTGCTAGCGTTTAACATTCAAGGTTAGATTAATGTTTGAGGGGATTCTGTTCTCAAGTGGCATCAAACTTTTCTCTCTTCAGAATTTTGTAGAGTAAACGTACGTAACGTAACGTGTGAATTTCAAATTTTATTGTAGTGAATGCAATCTCAATTTCAATCTCTGCAACTGATGGCTTGCCACTAGGCTGGAGTAATTCTTGTTTGTGTATCATCTTTAACTTTTCGAAGTTTCTGCAGAGTTCAACTTGTGTATTTGATTTCATTACAAATGTAAAAGTCAGAGGTATCTTGTTACCGGCGACTTTTAATTTCTGTATACGGGAAAAAATTACTATTGCGATATAGCGCGGCAAGGTATTCCGCTGTAGATGCTTAAGGTCCTTATTAGATGTAGATACACTTCTTCTCAAATCGATAACGAATGCTCAAGGATTCTTCCTTTTATCTGATTAATTTACTCAGTATAGCTATTAATTTTTTGATCTAATTTACATTGTTCACTCCGACAAGCCATCATAGAGATTGCAATTGAGATTGCGTTCTGTTATTTACTACAAGAAAATAAAAAATTTACGTTACAGATACTTCACAAAACCCTAAGCGTTTGCGTCCATAATGTGAATAGTGTCTCCCCGAACGATGCATCCAGAAACACGACTGCTCACTGAGCGCTCAGTGAACTCTTGTACATGTTTGATTTATATTTTTAGATATAATGGAATATGCCAATCAGATGCAAGAGCTCACTGAGTGCTCAGTGATGTTACGTTTTCAAAAATCTACAAAAAGCAATGAAATCCCCCCAAAACCTCTATAAAAAAAATATATGCCAAGTGCATAAAAAAGATATCGAATATTACATTTCTTTTAATAAAAAATGGATACGAAGGAAATGCAATTAATCATTAATGGTAAAATATTCAAAACACATGAATGCTTGTTAACATCTGTCAACAGATTATATACTTCGTGGATGTTTCTCAAGACACGATTCCATCAGTTTTTCTCGTTTTCACGAATGTATTTTTATCCTATCAAATGCACTATTTGAGCCGATAATGGCAGTGTAAGACATTATAAATCTGTTATAAAAAAACGCAGAATGAGTCTTAGATTATTGTCTCATGATATGTCGCATGACAGACCTGTAAAAATTATTTAGAATTTATGGATCTCACTTTTAGAAAGTTAAACTGTATATTTATAGTATATTTTTGATTATTGTCTACTTGTAAAGTGTTTATCAGGGAATGTAAGATGTTAGCAGGAAATAGAGTCTTCTTATAAAGAGAATAATTCGGATCAGAGATATTTATTTAATAACTGTTTTGAAATTCGTAGTTTTACACATGCGTTCGATTATGTACTATGGTGATATCTTATAATTAGACATGTACAAGTTCGTTATATCTTACAGACAGTAACATGCCACGTTTCATCTTTTTTAGTTCCTCTCCTCGTTTTATACCCTCAATGAAGGGTGTAAAAAATTCACGGATTACACCATCTGATAGATTTTCATTCCTTCCACAAATCTACAATAATATAAAATAAGAATTTTTTTTAAATTAAACAAAATTTAAATTTTAGCCGTAAGTTTTCTTATTCTGTATACCTTGGCACTCTCCACCACATATTTCTTTGCCATATATATAATAAATTCTTCGTTTTTTTCATGCAAAAAGAATTGCGTAAACATTTTTGTGAATTTTGTTATCCATATCATGTCCCAAGATTGATTTTCACAAACTACAAACGTTTGACGAATAATCATTGCGGCTAACTACAAGAAAAACAAAAACGACAAGATTACATTGTTTTCAAATATTCAAGTGCACTTCTTGCATATATTATGAGATATGTTTCAAATAAAAAAAAAATACCATGGAGAATGAAGCTTGTCTACGATTTATTTCATACCATTTGGTAGCAAACGTCTGTAGGGCACAGGTAATGTAAAGTATAATTGTTTCTCTTGTTTTCAGGCAGTGCACAAGTTCGCTGAATAACTTCACCAGCTCTTCCTGGATTAATAGGTTCGTTTCAATACATATAAAATCAAAAAAGATTTTCCATAAGATTAAAAAATGTTCCTTCGTAAAGTCTGTAAACAACGAAAAGTGCATCAAGTCCAAATACATAGTGTCACGTCGTTCAAGTACATAAATATTAATTATTTATAACGTTTATATATTATGTACACACGTTTTTGTGTATTCATATCTTATGTATTCCTTTTTTTTTAAATGTTAAAGAAGCACTTGGCGAAATAATAGTATTTATCCTTTCCTTTTTTAATACATAACTTTGGATTCTTTTCAATAACCCGGAAAAAAAATTTTATATTTAATTATATAAAATTATATATATAATTATACAGGATGTTCGATAAGTTTTGACAAAGCGGTCGTGTGTGGATAAAACGGACTAAACTGAGTTGGAAAGTCTTATCATTTAAAAATTTTTGCAATAATTAACGAGATATTAGTTAAAAATCGATGAATATTTTTTTTTCAATAATAAATTTTCAATAATTTTTCATTCAAATATGTACTATCAACTTTTCAGAAAAAGTGTCTCAGTGAGACACAAACATTGTTCACTTCCTTTTCATAAAGTTCTGAGAATTTTTTCAGAATTTTTAATACCGTATTTTCTCATGTTGGTAAAAATAATTGCTAATATACATATACACCGGATGTTCAAACTAAAGCGTTAAAAATATTTTGGAAAAATTCTTAGAATTCTATGAGAAGAAAATAAACAATTTTTGTCTCTTGCAGTTTTTCTGTAGAGTTAATAATATTTGAGAAAAAAATGATTGAAGACCAATATTCGGCAATTTTTAGTATCTTATACACACGAGTGCTTTGCCAATACTTACTGGACACCCTATATATTACTTTATATAATTTTATATAATTATGTATACAATTTTTTTTTCGGGAAGAAATACATGACACTGAGTAACACAATGAATCATTACATCTTTACAAAAAATTTTTCATGCATGAATATGTATAAATATGTATAAAACATACATAAATATTCATAAACATGTATAATCATAAGAATGTTTATATATGTTCATACATCTCCTCTTTCTCTTGTAAAATTACTTTTTAATGTAATAGAAATAATAATAGTAACGTGAAAACATAAAAAATATTGCAAAAAGTATTGAGGAGGCATCGGAAATAATTCTGTTGCGCCTGCGTCTGCGTTCTTATGCCGTGTTACGCCTTGTGACGAGTCTTTAGGAATTGTATACAGGATGAGTCAGAGTAATTGAACCAGTTTTTTACCATATAAAAAAATTGTCAACTATGTACCTAATTTTTTATTTAACGATACAGATCGGATGCGTGGATAACATCGTGCGAATTGCTGGTCTGAGCGTAAAAACACACGTTTTATGTTGAGTTGTGAAAATTGTTACATGATTTTATTTTTATTATACACAAATATTAAAAATGCATCTTTTTTTTGGTGCGACCAGATCAGCAATTCCACGATGTATCCACACATCTGATCTGTATCGCTAAGTCGATAATTAAGTGTGAAGTCGATAATTTTCTTATAGGTTAAAAGACTGACTTTAACTACTCTAACTTATCCTGTATAATAAAGAATCGGAAAATCATCGTGTGTACAAATTTATATAATAATGTACAAAAATTGACTTATCAAACGAACTATCATGTGATGATCGTGTCTTGAACCATTTTTTAAATCTTCTTAATATTTTTTTTTGTACACGCTCGTCATCATATTTTTGTATCGACATTAACGTCGCCCTAATTTCTCGTGCAAGTATAGCTTTTTCGAATTTTTTGGATTTCTTGTCACTTTTCTTCGTCTCTTCTTCTTCCACTGCCACGTAATAATTGCATTTATTGCATTTTACCATTTCCATTCTTTACAAAAATTATTTTAATTAGTTACATGATATGTACGATCACATTTCTTAATAATATATCAAATGTAGCAGAAGTGTTTTTTATGAGAGAAAATGAAATATACTTACCCGCACATGTGCGTCCAACCTTCTAATTGAGACATTATCTAGCGATATAGTTTTCCTTTTTCTTCTGATTCCTCTTTTTTGGTTTTCCAATTCAAATAGCGGTATGATTCTCACAAACTGGAGCAAACAGGACGCGATAATGGTTCCTACACACAGAACGTGACATCACGCCGTAAAATGTAGCCTGCAATAATGGCGTCTACATACTAGATGCATTGGAAAAATCGGAAAAGCTTGCCGCACGATAAAATGCAGTAACCAATGAACATGTTAAAAGTTTAGCTGTAAGATTATTGGCTACCTCGTCACATTTTGTGGAAGTTAACGCAATAGCTAATCATTCTTTCGCTTTTATAGTAAAGCGATAAATTGATTGGTTCACGTTAATTTTCGCCGCGCGGTTAGCGTTGTCGTGTTCTCTGTGCAGGAATCAATGCAATATATTCATGTAAGCACATGGTATATACATTTACACTATGATGTAAACCCAAGCAATCAAGGCACGTGATATAATAATATTTCCTGATACTGGGTAATCAGAAATATGTAATATAAACAGGACGTTCGCGCGCGATAAATTTTATTACATTATAAATAGTTTTGTGCGTGCGCGCGTGTGAGTGTGTGTGAAAGTATTGTCTATTCTGTCGAATACCTACACAATTTTTTTTGTAATTGTAAGTAAACATTTATGCGTTTCAATTTATCGCGATCAATTAATTCGGCGAATATCTAAAGTCGATTTTCTCGAAAACAAAGTCTTATATAAAAAGATTATTCTAAATTTCTGACTTATTTTTTTTTCCTATAAAACTATTTGTTTTCCTGTTATATACTTTCAATTCCCAAACATTCCTTAGGCCTGTTCTTTTTATCTTTAGCTAACCTTTTGCACCAGTTAATCTTCCTTCTTTTTCTTTTTGGAGGAGAAAAGAAGAAAAAAATGAACTGGTGCAAAAAAAAGAACAGACTTTTTGTATCTTGTATACAATAATAGACGAGTTCAAGCCGGAAGGTCAGCAAAGCGGCTAGACCATGGTGAAATCACCATGGGCTACACATGCTTGTCGAGCGAATGAGCATGATTGATTCTTACCAGATGGATCCAACTAATTATATTTCATTGTTCGACAAGCAGACCAAGAGTACATTCTAATTAAGGGAGGAACCTAGTTTAGATTGTAAAAAGTTTCGATTTTTCTTTTTGCTTTAATTAATAGTATTACTATTAGAAAATGTACTCGTAAAGTTTTAGACTAAAATTCGAAATATTACTGCCTGAGGAACAGGTATACAACGCGCGCAGCGGGAGCGTTTATTGTGCTCCGTTTCTCGGTTCCTAGCATCCTAGGTATCATTGACCTCAGTAAATACCTATTTATTTGCAAAGTAACGGAGCACACGTAAAACTCAAACGAGAGGTTTTAATTTCAGCATTTGGCGCCTCGCTCCAAAACACTTATTTTTACGCAAAAATGATCAAAATCGCCGCTTTCGTTGCCGCATCTTTAATGAAGGCTATTCTAGTATTTCAAAAGATAATGCAGTTGCTGGAAATAAATATTGGCCAACATAATTGTAAAATATTCGATAATTACAATAAGGATTGAGTTACGCAGCAGGAATGACGTCGATTAAGCAGTACAAAAGAAGCTCATACAAAGGCTCGTATGTTGCAACTAATACGACAAAACGAGTTTTGTAAGGAAGGTTTGCTGTATAGGCGTGGAATTGTAGATTAGCAGTAAGTTACCAAAAAGCACTACTTTTGATACCAAAAACTTTAAACGCGTTTTTCTCAAAACCACTTTTCCAAAATTGGCGTGCAAGATTATTAAAAAACTATTAGACTAATCGACTTCTTGTAAAGTTTTTTAATTACATAATCGTCAACCATCCTAGATGAACTAAAAACGTTTATTAAAAAACCAGTATAAATTTCTGTATAAATAAATTTTGTTCAAAATCGTCTTTTTTTTCAAAGCTGCACAATTCTTACAATTTGATACTTTTCTCTTATTTTTTGTAATTTATCAAGAATAAAATGATATTTAATTAAAAAAATTTTTGGTTTTTTTGTTTCATGCAAGAATTACAAGCTCCAAATTGTACGTCAATTTATAACTCCGATGGTGAAGCATAGTATTAGTTAATAAATAATTCTTTATTATAGTTATTATTTATTTATTAAAAAATTATTTTGTATTCTTCAAATTTACAATTTACATTACATAAATTCAGAGTTGGGAACGTTACCTAAAAAAAATAACGCGTTACCATTACAATTACTTTTTGTTAAAAATAAAATAACTCATTACCGTTACCAGTTACTCATTTTAAAAAGTAATACGTTACTGTTACCGTTACTTGAAAAAGTAACGAATCATTACTTTTTCTACTTTTTGTAAAATTATTGAGTTAGCTCTCTCACATTCGATGTTGATAAAAATTAGGCTCATTTGATGGGTTTTTGCACAAAAAATGACCGAGTCTGACAGAAACAATCGGAAATTAAAGTCAACAGTTATTGAATTTAATTAAATATTATTTTTTAACTTTATTATTATCATTATTAAGAATGTATTTCAAGATTCA